AGAAGTGTCTAGAATGACAAATATTATGAAACTTAAATATTCAAGTTATCAACATTAATTTAAAATTCAGTGAAAGTTGATTTTGCAGGTATAACCACTCGTAACACAATAATATTCTTAAAGCTTATAACACAAAAGCAATACTCAGAAAATATAGTTCATATTTCATATAAAAATCATATTAACGAGATTTCTTAAACATCATTGTATTGTTGTATAGTCAGTGTTATATTTTAAACAATATTTTTTCAACATCCTGAATTGAAGCTTTGTACATAAATATAGTTCAGGGTAACTATGAAAACATCATAAGATAGGAAGTTTTACCCTATCTTAAATTACAATGTGTCATCATAACATTTATGTTAAGAACTCAATATTAATATTTATTAAAAACGCTCAGTGTAACTATGACAAAAATGTTCATATTATTGACTAGTATTAATCAAAACGATTTATACCAAAAATTTCAATATCACCACTAAAAGCTTAAGAATCATCATGGCGTTTGATTTTTTTGTTCTTAAAATTAGTAATATTAGATGGTACTTACCTAATAAACGAGAAGTTTGGAACTGTTCATCAATTGCAGGTTCTACTTTGGCAAAACGTTGCCTTTTCTTGTATTTAACTTCAGCCTTTGTTGATCGCTTCTTATTCAAAATAGCATCTTCCGCTTCAGTCTTTAAATAAATTAACAGTTTGTAATTAATAAATTGAAAAAATAATTTTTTTAACATTATGGTAGGTAGAAAATATGATATTGAACCATTTTAAATTTTTCAAGAATAAGGCAATTTTTCTCTCTAGCCTTTTAAAACTTAACATTAGGTCGCTGCAGAATAARTTATGTCCTCTTAGTTGTATCAGGAATCTAAATATTTCTCATCATTGAGATTTAAAAGTTATCTTATAAACAAATATCAAAGAAAATATTTAATGCACAAGATAATCTACACATTTCTGCTCTCAGTTAGTACACAGTCATCAATATTATCAGACGGCAATTCCTATCAGAAAGGTTCATCATAGCAGAATTTTTATTTAACTTATTATCAGAGCGCTGCGGAATAAGTCATATCCTCATATGATTATTTCAGGAACCGAATAATTACTCATCATATGTATTCGAATGTTAAAATATTATAAGTACACAAATATAATAGATATCTTTTAATTCTTAATGGTTACAAATTTGAATAGTATATTCACATTTTTGCTCTCAGCTAATAAACGGTCATCAATTATCAGACGGCAATTCCTATCAAAAAGGTTCATCATAGCAGATTCTTTATTTAACTTATTATCAGAGCGCTGCGGAATAA